TTGGTTTTGTCCATGTGTTCTTTATAGTAGTTCTTGAAAACCCTTCTCTCCACATTCCCCTCACCCTCCCCTCTGGCTATTATTAGATTGTTCTTAATTTCATTGTCTCTGGTTATACTTTGTTTGCTTTTTTGTTGTTGATTATGTTCCACTTAAAGGTGAGATCACATGGCATTTGTCTTAATCTCACCACTGAGTGTATTGGTTGTGGAGCCACTTCAGAGCTACTGCAGTGCAGGCCAATTTCAGGTGCTGCCTGTGACAGGCTCTGGGCTATCTGTCTGAAGTTACAAAGTGATCCACCACTTGTGGCTGCCTCTGCTGGGCCTGAGTGTACTTGGGAAGGGCCAAACTGTGCACCAAGGCTAATATTCATTAGGACTGAGCCAGAGGGCATGGCAGTAAAAGGTCTGAAGCTTCCCTAAATGCTCCTCCACCTGGGAGCTTCTGTTCAATTCACTCACTGAAAAAGCCTCTATCAGTATGTGAAGTGCATGAGGTAGTTTCTCAGTGAGACACCAGGGAAAGGCAAGTGGTGTTCACCAGACTGATATAATTTCAAACTCAGTTACAGTACTGGGTCTGAGGCCACTTACCAGAAGTCTCAGGGTGCAGCCACCTAATTCATGTTTTCTCAGAGTCTGTCTGGACTGCCTGGAGAGTCTCCGCACAGTGAGAACAGGCAGACCAGGGCCTGCTGACAATTTTGCAGAGTAAAAGCTCAGGTGGGTGGCACCACTGGTAGTCAAGCAGGTAGAGCTTGGGGTTCTCTGTGATGGGGCTGTTGAATTTCTTGTGGGAGGGCGACGTGCCACTGTTTTGGCATTCCTGGAGGGGGCAGTGCCTGTTGATCTGTTCCAAGGGACTCATTCTGCTGCCCTGGTGCTTGGGGAGTATGAGGCTGCTATTTTTGCTCACAGGGCTCAGTGCTTGTGGTGCATGGCTCTGGAATGCAGGTGGTAATGGCACTGCTGCTGTGGCATGGCCAGGTGAAGGGAAATTGCTCAGGCGAAGGGAAATTGCTCAGCCCAAGAGTCACACAACTCAGTAACTGACTACCCTGGAACTCCCCTTCAGCATTCTTTTAAAAAAGACTTCTCTTAAGCAGCAGACTCCTTGAAGGGTATATGCTTCACAAGGCAGGGCCAAGGATTTGGGAGGGTGGGGGTATTGCATTCTCCCAGTCTAATGTCATGTAGAGGGGAGTATTTGATCCAGGAAGGATGGTGTGCATGGGTGGTGTGAGAGAGTGACTAAGCACAGGAACACTGGCGTGTGTTCTTTTAGCACTCTCACTGTAGCCACACATCCCAGTCTGACTTCATAAACTCCATTTTGCTCTGATCTGCTCTCCCTCTGCCAAGGTGAGTGACTGTGTTTTCAGCAGACTTAAGAATAAGTTGTTTCTAACAGAGGTTCCTGTTTCTCTCCCTGGCATACAGAATCCATGCTGATTATCACAGACAGATGTTATGTGGATGCCTCTTTCATACTCTGGTGCTTTGGACTATGGAACCCAAAGTGCACTTGAGATCCCATATTACTTGGGATGGCAGGGAGGACCTTTGCAGATGAACTATCCTCTGGATTCTCAGCTGCCACAAATTCATGTGGGGCATCCTTTTCACATCTCTGCCCTCCCTACTAGTCTCCTCTGGCTTTTTCTCTAAATTCTGTTACAAGACTGTTGTTTAGCAAGTCTTCAGTTGGTTAGTCAGCTTGACTTTTCTTTTACTTAAAAAAAAACTTTGAAAATATTTATTTATTTATTTTTTATAATAAATTTTATTTAGTTACTTTTCAAGTACATTTTTTTATCTATTTCTCCCATCCTACCCCCCACGCTGTCTCCCCCCTCCCTCCAATTTCCCCTCCCCCAGTCCTCATCCCTGTGTCTTTCATACTTGTTCCTCAAAATCCCTCCCTCTTTTTCCCCTTAAATTCCCTTCTCTCTCCCCTCTGGTCGCTGCCCACTTGTTCTCTATTTCAGTGTCTTTGTTTTTATTCTGTTTGCTTGTTTGTTTTATTCTTTAGCTTCCTGTCAAAGGTGAGATCATATGGTATTTGTCTTTCAATGCCTGACCTATTTCACTCAGCATAATGCTTTCCAGTTCCATCCATGTTGTTGCAAAGGGTAGTAGCTCCTTCTTTCTCTCTGCTGCATAGAATTCCATTGTGTATATGTACCACAATTTTTTGATCCATTCGTTTACTGATGGGCACCTAGGTTGCTTCCAGCTCTTGGCTATTTATTTATTTTTAAAGAGAGGGAAACTGAGGGAAAAAACATCAATGTGTGGTTGCCTTTCATGCGCCCCCTACTGGGGACCTGGCCTGCAACCCAGGCATGTGCTCTAACTGGGAATCTAGCCAGCGACTGTTTGCCTTGCAGGCTGGCACTCAATCCACTGAACCATAGCAGCTAAGGCTTTAAAATTTTATTATTGTTGTTTGCCACGGTCCAGCCTTGGCAGGGTCCAGGGATCCCGAAAGTGGGTAAGGCGTTGGTGATGGGTAACAGACGACATCACGCCTCAAAGGACAGTGAAGCTCTGTTCCGTTTATTGCAAGTACAAGCAGGTTTTTATATTTTCATTTTAGGCAGTGATTAACATTTGCAGTATAGCATGATCAGTTAAGCAGGAAAAAAGCAATACAAAGGCAACCAGGAAAAATATGAAAGTTCCCATAGATTCAGTTATAATAAACAAAGATTATTTTGACCAGGAGAGCCATTAATCAGACAATTAGAAGTAGCTGTATGTACAGAATTTGAATATCTTATTGTATATTAAAATTTCTCAGAGTTTGTCATGGGGCAAAAGGATACACTAGATTGAGTAGAGGTAATAGGAAATTTATTATAAGACCTTTGTGATTTCTAACTTAGCTATCTCTCCTTTTCTATCTAAAATGTTTTTCTGTGCACTATAAACTTTGACTCCTTAGTAACTGTTTCTACGTGTGTAGTTTGTAATAGTTAACCAGCCCTTTTAAAATTTCTTTGTCTGTTCAATTGATACATATTCTTATTCAAAATAAAGGATGGGCTGTTACTCCAACAACTTTTAGACATTTAGGAGCTATTTCATTAGAGGGGATTTTTCCATCCTTTCAGGCAGTTTCATGGGGAATACTAATGTTTTCCCCTGAATTGTCCCTTCCTCTTTGGTGATTTGCACAGGAATAATGCAAATGTTTATATACAGTACAATGTTTATATTCAGTAGCAAGAGTAAAATAATTAAAATAAAAGAGCCAATTGTTAACCCATTTTGGATGCTACATTCTCCTCCGGGGAAACGAATTCCTTGAACTCAAATCCTCCATGCCTGGACCTTGTCAGACAACATAGTTGGAAAAGGACGTGGCATTTGCTCAATTGCAGTTGTCCCCATTTTCCCCCATTGCTCTCCCCCGCCATGCCCATCACCGCTTAGTTTTTATTCCAGTTTGATCCTGAGACAAGGTGAGTATAATTTTCACCCACTCTCCTGTCATCTTTTCCTCCATCCAGGTGTTTGCTTTTTTTATTGTCGAGTTTTAAGAGTTCTTTGTATATATCGGGCACAAGTGCTTTATCAAATGTGTTTTGTAAAGATTTTCTTTTAGTCTGAAGCTTACCTTTTTTATAGTCTTAAGTGTTTTTGCAGAGCAGAAGTTATTAATTTTTTATTTTTATGCAGTTTAACTTTTTAGTTTTTTCCTGTCATGAATTGTACTTTGGAGTTGTATCTAAAAAGTCATTTTCAAATCCAAAGTAATCTATATTTTATCCTATGATATCTTCTAGTAGTTTCATAGTTTTGCATTTTACATTTAAATCTGTGACCCATTTTGAGTTAATCTTTGTAAAAGATGTAATGTTTCTTTTCAGATTATAATTTTTTGCATGTGGATGTCCAGTTTTTCCAGTCTCATATGTTCAAAAGGTTAACCTTTCTCCATTGAGACTAACCTTTTTGTCTTCTTTCTTTCACCAAAGATCAGTTGTCTATATGTGTTTGGGGTTATTTCTGGGATCCCTGGTTTTATTGATCTATTCGTTTATTCTTTTGCAAACTGAGTTACTTTACATTTATATTATATCTTAAAATTGGATACTATTAGTTCTCCTACTTTATTCTTCTTCAATATAGTGTTGTCTCCTCATGACCTATTGCCTTTCCACATAAAGTTTAGAATTTAGATCGTTGATATACACAAAAAAAACTTGCTGTGATTTCATTTGAGATCACATTGAATCTAAAGATCAAACTGACAATAACGGAAATCTTAACAATATTAATTTTATTGCAATTTTCCTTATATACAAGCAGTGAACAAGTAGATTTTGATATTACACATGCACCATTTGCATAAGCACCAAAAGGTCAATACTTAGATATAAATCTAATTTAATATGTACAAGGTCTATATGAGGTAAAGTATAACATTCTGATGAAAGAAATAAAATAAGACATAATGAAGAGAGGTTTTATGTCCATAGATAGGAAGGAACTGTGTTATTTAACATTTTCTCTTCCCTTATTATATTTTGTTGTTATCAGGAAATTTGGTGCAGGGACTGTCTTCTGTCATATAATTCTTCCGTACCAAGATTGGAGAGTTTTGTGTTATTATCATAAGGAGGGCACACACACTAGACCTCAGTCCAGTTTTGTCACTTAGTAGATGCATAGTTTTGATCATGTTATATAACCTATCTGAGCCTCAATTTCTTTGTTTGAAAATGATGATTGTATCTTCTTTTTTGGTTTATTTTGAGGAGTAGAAGAATGTAAATTAGTAGAGTGTCTTGAACATGATGAGCATTTTGTAAAATTGAAACTATTTTTATCTTAAGCATTTTGTTCCTTGAGTACTGACATGACCCTGCTGTCTCTCTCTCTCTTTTTTTGCTTGTCTAGTTCTCACATATATAGAAGTGAGATATCAAAATATAGGTATAACTAGCTATTTGTAATTCCTTTAAATATTTTTCCTTTTTTTGGAAATAGAACTTACTTATTCAGTAACTAATCGATTGAATGCCATGTTGAAAATATTTGAAAAACAGTCAAATATGTTGGACAGGTAAGCTTTTAAAATAATTTCTTTTCCAAATTATAAAACTGAATACATATATATTTTAGAACATTTGGAAATATAAAGAAGAAAATAAGATTACTGTTTAAAAAATTAGTGATCCTACATCAATTTTTATGATATGCACAATTTTAAAGCTTAAAATTATAATCACAGAGTGTAAAATTGTATAGTTACAATGAGAAATAGTATGTCAGTTCCTCAAAAAATTAAAAATGTAATTATCAGGTGGTTTAACAATTCCATTTATGGGTATATACATCACAAACTGAAATTAACATCTTGAAGAGCAATTTATATACACATATTCACTGTAGCATTATTTGCAAGAGCAAAGAATTAGAAGTAACCCAAGTGTCCAATGAAGAACAAATGGATAAAGAAAATGAAATATATACATACAATGGAATAGTATTCAGTATTAAAAAGGAAGGAAATTGTGACATGTGGTACAACCTGAATGAACATTGAGGACACTATATTAAGTAAAAGAAGCCAGTCACGAAAAGATAAGAATTTTATGATTTCATTAATATGAAGTACGTAACGTAGTCAAATTCATATAGACAGAAAAGAAAATGGTAGTTGCTAGGGCTTCAGGGAGAGTGGGGGAATGGGGAGTTGTTGTTTAATGGAGTTCTAGTTTTCCAAGATGAAAAGAGTTCTGGAGGTTAGTTGCACAATAATGTGAATGTACTTTAGTATGGACTTAAAAATAGTTAGTGGCAAATTTATGTTATGTACATTTTACAGTTTTAGAAAGTAAAAAATTATATTCATACAAAATGTTACTGATACGTGTACTCTTCATTTATTGATAAATCTTTGTAAACTCATAATTATTTTTAAGTAAATGTTTTAAATTAAAACATATTAAGAAAGTTCATATCACTCATTGTTTTAAAAATATTTAAATTCAATATTGAAAAATTGGTAAATTTTACATGATCAGATTTTCTAGTTATCAAATCCAGTGATCAAGAGATCACAGAAAAGTGTAAAGAGAGTTCCAGCCAAGGTAGAGGTATAGGTATATATGCTTTGCTTTTTTGCACAATAAAAAGAAGGATAACAGCCAATTTAAAAAAAAACAACAGCCAGAAGTTCCAGAAAATCAAACTCTATGGAAGTCCTATACCCAAAGAGTTAAAGAAGAAACAGTCATCCAGACTGGTAAGAAGGGTGGAGACTGGAAGCCAGGGTGGTGATAATCCATGACAAGGCAGGGGTTGGTGAACCAGGTAGTCCCACATTTGTGTGCTGATAAGCTGGGAGGAACAAGTGAGGAGCCAGATAAACTGGGCAACCTAGGGTTCCAGTGTGGGGAAATAAATCCTCAGGACCTCTGTTGGTAAATGCCTGTGGGGTTTTAATGGTGGAAGAAACCGCCAGTCTCACAGGAGAGTCCATTGGAGGGGCCCATGGGATCCTAGAATGTACACAAGCCCACCCACCCAGGAATCAGCACCTGAAAGGGCACAATCTGCTTGTGGGGCAGCAAAGAAAGTGACAGAAAGTGGAATGAGAGCTGAGAAAGCATATTTGTTTCCTCTCTGACTCCTCCCCCACAGACAGTGCCACCACACAGTGAGATAGATGGGTTGCCCCACCCTAGTGAATACCTAACAATGTATTGTAAGGGGCTCCACCCCTTACAATGTAACAGGTGCACCAAGACAAAGAAATATGGCCCAAATGAAAGAACAGATCAAAATTCCAGAAAAAGAATTAAGCAATGAGGAGACAGCCAACCTATCATCTGCAGAGTTCAAAACACTAGTAACCAGGATGCTCACAGAAATGGTTGGGTATGGCCACAAAATAAAGGAAGAAATGAAGGCACTGGAAAGTGAAATAAAGGAAAATATACAGGGAACCAACAGTGAAGGGAAGGAAGTCAGGATTCATATCAACAATTTGGAGTAAAAGGAAGAAATAAACATCCAGCTGGAACTGAATAAAGAAACAATTTTTTAAAAAATGAGGAGAAGCTCAGGAACCTCTGGGACAATGTTAAACATTCCAATATCCAAATCATATGTGTGCCAGAAAGAGAAGAGGAAGAGCAAGAAATTGAAAACTCACTTGAACAAATAATGAAGGAAAACTTCCCCAATCTGGTGAAGGAACTAGATATGCAAGGCCAGGATGCTCAGAAAGTTCCAAAGAAGTTGGTTCCAAGAAGAAACACACCAAGACACATAATTAAATTATCCAAGATTAAAGGTAAAAAGAGAATCTTAAAAGCAGTAAGAGAAAAGGAGGCAGTTATTTACAAAGAAGTTTCCATAAGACCATGAGCTGATTTCTCAAAAGAAACCTTATAGGCTAGAAGGGGCTGGAAAGAAGTATTCAGGGTCATTAAATGCAAGAACCTACATCCCAGATTACTCTATCCAGCAAATCTATGATTTAGAATGGAAGGGCAGATAAAGTGCTTTACAGATAAGGTCAAGATAAAGGATTTCATCATCACCAAACCCTAATTATATGAAATCTTAAAGGGATTCATTTAAGGAAAAGAATATCACTGTTGGTGGGACTGCAGACTGGTGCCACCATTATGGAAAACAGTATGGAATTTTCTCAGAAAAATAAAAATCGACCTGCCTTTTGACCCAGCAATTCCACTGCTAGGATTATATCCTAAGAATCCTAAAACATCAGTTTCAAAGAACCTATGCACCACAATGTTCATAGCAGCACAATTTACAATAGCCAAGAGTTGGAAGCAAACTAGGTGCCCATCAGTAAATGAATGGATCAAAAAATTGTGGTACATATACACAATGGAATTCTATGCAGCAGAGAGAAAGAAGGAGCTCCTACCCTTTGCAACAGCATGGATGGAACTGGAAAGCATTATGCTGAGTGAAATAGGCCAGGCGTTGAAAGACAAATACCATATGATCTCACCTTTAACAGGAAGCTAAACAACAAAACAAACAAGCAAGCAGAATGAAAACAAAGACACTGAAATAGAGAACAAGGGGACAGTGACCAGAGGGAAGAGGGAAGGGAATTTAAGGAGGAAGGGGGGATGGATTTGGAGGAACAAATATGAAGGACGCAGGGATGAGAGCTAGGGGGGGTGGAGATGAGAGGAAAGTGGGGAGCATGGGATGGGGGGGCTGGGATGGGAGAAATAGACAAAAAACTGTACTTGAAAAATAACTAAATAAAAAAATCCAAAAAAAAAACCACACACACACACAAAAAAAAGAATATCAAAACTATGAACAGTAAAATGACAATAAACAACTATCAACAACTGAACCTAAAAAAACCAAAAACTAAGCAAACAGGTAGAACAAGAACAGAATCACAGAAATGGAGGTCACATGGAGCTTTATCAGTGGGGATAGAGATATAGAAGAATGGGTTAAAAAGCTACAGAGACTAAGAAGCATAATTGGTAGGCACAAAATAGACAGAGGGAGGTTAACAATAGTATAGGAAATGGAGAAGCCAAAGAAGTTAAATGTATGACCTGTGGACATGAACTAAGGGGCAGGGGTATGCTGAAGGAAGAATGTTCAGGGCAGAGGGGGGTAAAGGGAAGAAAAAAGGACAACTATATTATCATAATCAATAAAATAAACAAAAATGTAAAGAAGTCTATATCTGGGGAAGCTGCTAAAAATAGAAATAAAGGACATCACTTGTATTCATTAATGGCCAGGTATTTGGTATGTGATTAATTTAGGCCCTATTTGTTATTTACCCTTTTTATCTTTTTGTAATTCTTCCTATTAAAGGTTAGGGTCAGAATTTTCACACCCTTGTCTGATGAAAGCTCACTGGAGGGCATCATATTCTAGGGGTATTCTTAATGATGGAGATTAGTTTCCATGACAATTTTAACCATTGGACCCAAGGTATTAAAGCAGTCATTGATACTATTCAATATTATTGACTGTAGCTCCTCATATTAAGCTATTGGTGCTACTTACTGCTAGTTTTAGAATTTCTGGGTGTAGCAGAAAGAAGTGGGAAGAACTAGTTTAAGGGGTTACTATAAAGGAGAAGATTTCCAACTTGAATGCTCATATACTCAAAGTGAGCTTTGTTCAATTGTCTGGCTGGAATATGTTTTGCACATTTCTTTGCATGTCAGGAAGTATCTTGAAAGTCACTGAGAATGAACTACAGTTCTTTCTGGTACCTAAGGTTATATTAGTTATACAATTGGTATGTTGAAAAAGTGTATCTTGTATCTAGTAGAATAAAATCACAAAACCATTTTTTTTATTCTCATTAGTATTCATTTGTGTTTACTAATTGGGGCTAATGTTCCTTTTGGTGCTGAATACAAACTAGGGATTTTCTGATTACTGTTAAAGAACAATTAATTTATTTAAAACATTTTAAATTTTCTTTACTTTTATTTTTAAAATTTTTAATGTTTTTTATTGTCCTTCAAGTACCATTGTTTCCATTTTCCACTTGCCACTAACGCTGCCCCAAGGACTACCACATCGCACCCTCAATCCTAAACACCATTTGGCTTTATCCAAGAGTCCTTTATACCTTCCTTGATGAACCTTTTCCTTCTTTCTTCTTTATCCCCCTTCAACCTCCCCTCTGGTTTCTTCCAGTTTGTTCTTTGTTCTTTTTTTTTTGGTTATATTTTTGCTTCCTTGTTTACTTTGTTGATTAAGATTCAATATAGGTGAGATCACGTGGTATTTGTCTTTCACCACCTGGCTTATTCAATTAGCATAATGATCTACAGTTCTATCCGTGCTGTCACAAATGGTAGGAGTTCCTTATTTCTTTCTGCTGCATAGTATTCGATTGTGTAAGTGTACCATAGTTTTTTTATCCATTCATTTACTGATGGGCACCTAAGTTGCTTCCAGCACTTGGCTATTGTAAATTGTGCTGCTATGAACATTGGGGTGAATAGGTTCTTTTGTATTGTTGTTTCAGGGTTCTTAGGATACAATCCTAGCAGTGGAATTGCTAGGTCAAAAGGCAGATCTAGTGAAAGGACAGAAAACTCACAGTTATTAACAACCACACTTAAAATGAAAGCAAACTAAGCAGACAACTAAATCAGGAGCAGAGCCATAGAAATGGAGATCACAAGGAGGGTTAACAACAGGGGAGTGGGAGGAGGAGAAGGGGGGAGAAGGTACAGAGAATAAATAGCAAAAATGGTAGGTAGAAAATAGACAGGGGGGAGGGCAAGAATAATATGGGAAATGTAGAAGGTAAAGAACTTGTGACATGTGGACATGAACTAAAGGGGGGAGTGGGGGGAGGGGTTGTGCAGGGTGAAGGCGAATGAAGGGGGGGAAATAGGACAACTGTAATGGCATAATCAATAAAATATATTTTAAAAAGGCAGATCTAGCCCTGGCTGGTGTAGCTCAGTGGATTGAGCATGGGCCTGTGAACCAGAGTATCGCGGTTAGATTCCCAGTCAGGGCACATGCCTGGGTTGCAGGCCAGTTCCCAGCAGGGGACGCATAAGAGGCAACCATACATTGATATTTCTCTCCCACTCTTTCTCCTTCCCTTCCCCTCTCTTGAAAAATAAGTAAATAAAATATTTTTAAAAAAGGCAGATCTATTTTTAGTTTTCTAAGAAAACTCCATAGTGTTTTCCATAGTGGTCGTACCAGTTTGCAATCCCACCAACAGTCTACTAGTGTTCCCTTTTGTCCACAACCTCACCAGCACTTATTGTTTGTTGATTTGTTTATGATAGTCATTTTGACTGGTGTGAAGTGGTATGCCATTATGGTTTCAATGTGCATCTGATTAATGATGTTAGGAGATATGGGGTATTCTATGTACACTATCATGCCATCAGCAAACAGTCACAGTTTCACTTCCTTCTTTCCAATTTGGATGCCTTTTATTTGTTTTCTTGTCTGATCACTGTGGCTAGAACTTCCAATACTATGTTGAATAGAAGTGGTAAAAGTGTATACCCTTTTCTGGGGCCTGATCTTAGGGGGAAAGCTTTTAGTTTTTACCTGTTGAGTATGATGTTGGCTGTAAGTTTCTTGTATGTGGCCTTTATTATATTAGGTATTCTCCCTCTACTCCCACTTTGCTGAGTGTTTTTATTTTAAATCATAAATGGCTACTGTACTTTATCAAATGCCTTTTCAGCATCTATTGAGATGATGATGTGGTTTTGTCTTTCATATTGTTTATTTGTTGTATTACAGTTATTGATTTGCAAATATTGTACCATCCTCGCATCCCTGTGATCAATCCCACTTGGTCATGGTGTATGATGTTTTTAATGGATTTCTGGATGTGGTTTGCCAATATTTTGTTGATGATTTTAGTGTCTATGTTCATCAGTGTCATTGGCTTGTAGTTTTATTTCTTTGTTGTGTTTTTACCTGGTTTTGGAATTAGGATAACACTGGCCTCATAAAAAGAGTTTGGGAGTATTACCTGTTCTTAGACCTTTTGGAATAGTTTGAGAAGAATCAGGGCTAGCTTTTCTGTAAATGTTTTGTAAAATTCTCCTTTGAATCCATCTGGCCCAGGTCTTTCTTGTGCCAGGAGTTTATTGATTACTGCTTCAGTTTCACTAGCTGATATCAGTCTATTCAGGCTTTCTGCTTCTTCTTGACTCAGTTTTGGAAGATTATATGTTTCTATAAATTTGTCCATTTCACTCAGGTTTTCAAATTTCTTGGCATGTAGTTGTTCATAGTAGTTTCTTATGATTGGTTTCAATTTCTCCCATTTTGGTTCTGATTTTACTTATTTGAGTCATTTCTGTTTGTTTCTTGATGAGTCTGGTTAATGGCATATCAATTTTGTTTATTTTTTCAAAGAACCAGCTCCTGAATTTACTGATTCTTGCAATTATTCTTTTAGTTTCCATGTCATTTAATTTTGCTTGGATTTTGATTATTTCCTTCAATTATTCTTTTAGTTTCCATGTCATTTAATTTTGCTTGGATTTTGATTATTTCCTTCCATGTACTCACTCTGGGTTGTGTTAGTTGTTGTACCTCTAGTTTTTATTGATGTAGGGTTAGGTCATTTACATACCTGGCAGAATCCAATCATTAATAACTCACAAAACAACAAGTGCTGGTGATGCTGTGGAGAAAAGGGAACCCTAGTACACTATTGATGAGAATGCAGATTGGTGCAGCCACTGTGGCAAACAATATGGAATTCCCTCAACAACCTAAAGATAGAACTGCCTTTTCATGTAGCAGTCCCACTGCTGGGACTATACCCTAAGAATCCTGAACCACCAAGTCAAAAGAACCTATGCACCCCAGTATTCATAGCAGTACAATTCACAATAGCCAAGTGTTGGAAACAACCTAAATGCTCATCCATAAATGAGTGGATCAAAAAACTGGTACATTTACACAATGAAATACTATGCAGCAGAAAGAAAGAAAGAAGGAACTCCTATCATTTGTGACAGCATGGATGGAACTGGAGAACATTTTGCTAAGTGAAATAAGTGAGGTGGTAATAGACAAATACCTTATTATCTCACCTATAAGTGGAACCTAACCAATAAAACAAACAAATGAGCAAAATAAAACCAGAAACTTGGAAATAAAGAACAAATGGTCAATTACCAGAGGGGTGGTGGGAGGGAGATAAACAGGAAAAGAAGAGGAAGGGACAAGCAAAGGAACATGAATAGAGGCCTCATGGACACATAAAATTGGGGGGATTGACTGTGGAATTGTGGGGGCATGTTTCAGGAAATGGGGAAATAGAGGGGGCAGCTGTAATTTAACAATAAAAATAATCTAAAGAAGACACAGATAACAAAGTTTTAAAGGCTAAAAAATGAATAAAAATAAAATTTAAGTGAGTAAAAATGTTAAAGGACTCATGGACATGGACAGTAGTGGTGATTGCAGGGTAAGGTGGTGTAAGGGGACTAAATCATAATGGAAAAAATATAATAAACTTTATATATTTTTAAAATATTAAAAAGTGGAATTGACCTATGTCTACCAATAAAAATAGTTCTCAGAAACTATTAAGAGAAAAAAATACTTGAGAAACATATATACATTGATGTCCTACATGTGGAAAAAATACAATATCTAACCCAATACAAAAATTTTAGAATCGAATAGGTACATGCAGTATTATATGAATTCATGGAACAAGTTCTGGCAAGGTAGGCAACAATCTAAAATTACCTCTGGGGAGATAATTGAATTTTCAGAATTGTAATAAAATTGTACCCTAATGTCATTTGTTTTTTTAAAAAATTTACAAAGAAAATGTACATGTCACATAAATAAAGCTATAAATAAAATGATAATACATTACAGATATTTTTTATATTTTTCAGAGCTAAGAATGATCAAATTCTGTTAGAAACTGTAAGTACAGCACTCTCAGTTTGAAATTGTGCTTTGGTCTTGTTCATAGATTCTAGATGTTGTCAGAATACATAATCTTAAATAAGGATCCAATGATTATTCATTTTATCCAAGTTTTCTATGCACATGTTAGCTAGAAAGCTTTGTCCACTTTTTGAATAATGTAAGTTTTATTTTTATATAATAGTATAACTTATTATGTAGTAACTTGTAATATTATATGTTCTATAATACAATGATATGTATAATATAAATTACATATAACATTGACACAAAATCAATATTAATGCTATTATACATAGTATTAACATAATAATAGCATAACATAGTTACATAATATTGCATGAAATAACAAACAATATAATGATAGAATTACATTATATCCCATATATGTTAATATTAAATTACATAAATAATATTATAAATATTAATATTTGTATCAAGCAACATGTTTAATATTATTATAAATATTAAATAATGCAAATAGTAAAACATTGTTTATTATATATTGCATATTTATATAATTATAATAACATGCATTACAATATTATATAATATATATGTAATATTTCACATAATAATCTCACAATATGATTATATAATATATAATATTGCATATGTAACTTATAATTTTTATATAGTAAGAATTATTATGTAAAATTATATGTTGTACTACAACTTAGATATATTTATATAATTAATAAATTTTAATTTTTATATTATGCAAAAGTTGTTTTATATACTATTTTATATTTAATAATGTCAAAATATTAAATAATATTGATAATGTTTTTCCTTCTTTTTTCTATCAAGCTGAGTCTTTATGAAGCATATATTTGTCTTTTACATCTAGCTTCTCAGACATTGTATAATGCCTTTTTTAAACATATTTTATCGTTGCTCAACTACAGTTGTCTCCATTTTCCCTCCACCACTCCCCTGCCCTAGACCAGTCATCCCCAGCTCAAACCATTGATCCTACACCCCTTTGATGTTGTCCATATGTCCTTTATTTATTTTTATTTTTTATTATTGTTTAAGTCCATTTGTCTCCATTTTCCCCCTAACACTACCATGACCCCAGCCATCTCTACGTCCAACCTTTGATCCCACCCACATTTGGTTTTGTTCATGTGTCCTTTTATACATGTTTTTGAAAACCCTTTCCCCTTTTATGCCTTTATCCTTATCCACTTCCCCTGTAGTTACTCAGTTTGTTCTTAATTTCACTGTCTCTGGTTATATTTTGCTTGCTTGTTTGTTTTGTTGATTGGGTGCAACTCATAGGTAAGATCATATGGTCTGGTTTATTTGACTTAGCATAATGGTCTTCAGACCCATCCATGCTGTCACAGAGGTCTGGAGCTCCTTCTTTCTTTCTGCTGTGTACTATTCCATCATGTAGATGTACCATAGATTTTTTTGATCCATTCATTCACTGATGAGCACTTAAGTTGCTTCCAGAACTTGGTTACTGTAAATTGTGCTACTATGAACACTACTCTTGCCCTCCCCCTATTTTATCCCCACTGTCTATGCTACTTATTCTCTGTAACTTCTCCCCACCTCTTCTCCTCCCACTCCTCTGTTGCTAACCTTCCATGTGATCTTCATTTCTGTGGTTCTGCTCTTGTTTTAGGTGTCTGCTTAGTTTGCTTTTGTTTTAGCTGTGGTTGTTAACAACTGTGAGTTTGCTGTCCAATCACTGCTCATATTTTTTATTTTCTTTTTCTTAGAGAAGTCCTTTTAACATTTCATATAATAAGGGCTTGTTGATGATGAACTCCTTGAACTTGACCTTATCTGAGAAGTGCTTTATCTGCCCTTCCATTCTAAATAAAAGCTTAGCTGGATAGAGCAATCTAGGATGTAGGTCCTTGCCTTTCATGACTTGGAATACCTCTTTACAGCCCCTATTTGCCCTAAGGTCTCGTTTGAGAAATCAGCTGACAGTCTGATGGGAACTCCTTTGTAGGTAACTGTTCTTATCTCTTGCTGCTTCTAGGATTCTCTCCTTCACTTTAATCTTGGCTAATGCAATTATGATGTGCCTTTGTGCATTCCTTCTTGGGTCCAACTTCTTTGGGACTTACTCTCTGAAATTCCTGGACTTCCTGGAAGTCTATTTTATTTGCCAGATTGGGGAAGTTGTCCTTTATTATTTGTTCAAATAAGTTTCCCACTTGTTGCTCTTCCTCTTCCCCTTTTGGTACCCCTATAATTCAGATATTGGAACGTTTAAAGACATGCTGGACATTCCTAAGCCTTTCCTTATCTTTTTGAATTCTTGCTTTTTCCCTCTTTTCTTTTTGGTTGTTTCTTTCTTCCTTCTGGTCTACTCCATTGATTTGTAGTGTAGCCTTCATTTTTCATCTAATTTGCAACCAAAATCAACCAGTTCTGTGAGCATCCTAATCACCAGTGTTTTAAACTGTGCATTTGATAGGTTGGCTATCTCTTGGTCGCTTAAAAATATTGGCTTTGGGGCTTTCATTTGTTCTTCTGATTGAGCCACTTTTGGTCAGGTTGTGCCTGTTATGTATGAGTGGTGGAGCCTTAGGTGTTCACTAGGGCAGGGCAACCCACGTCACTGGGTTGTGACTCTGTATATGGGGGTGGGGTAAGAGAGGGAGCAATGGCATTTGTTGGGCTTTCTCTTGGATTTCAGTCCCCTTTGCCACTTCCCACAAGCCGGCACCTTTTAAATCAGTGCTTTTAGGCTTTATTTCCTGTCACTGGGGCCCTGGCTTGCACCGTCCATCTTGCTGCCCATTTTTGCTTAGGTATTTACCAGGGTGGAGCAACTCAGTTGCTGAGTTGTGATGCTGTATGTGGAGGGAGGGGTCAGAGAGGGAGCAATGGCGCTTGCTCTGCTCTCTCTCTCTCGGATTTCAGTCCCCTCTGCCACTTCCCACAAGCAAATTGGGTCCTTCTGTTGCTGGTTCCTGGGTAGGTGGGCTTGTGTATATTCTAGGACCCTCTCGTTCCCTCCAGCAAACTCTCCGGTGAGGCCAGGAGTCTCTCCCAGCACTTTGACCCCTGAAAGTTTTTTCAGTTGGTGCTTTTAGGCTTTATTTCCTGTTGCTGGGGCCCTGAGTTGCATGGTCTGTCTCACTGCCCATGTTTTGCCTGGTTTATCTGTGCATGAATGTGTATCCACAGTCAGCCAACTGCCCTGCACATCTAACTGGGTTTACTCGATTCAATCCTGCACCTGGTTCTGCTAACCACTGCCTCTTCCTACCCAGGTCTCCTCTCTGCCGGCTGCTGACTTCAATCCTCTTACCAGTCTGGATGAATGGTCTTTGTTGTTAGACTTCAGTACAGTTCAATTTTCTGTCTGTTCTGATTGTGTTTTTGTTTCTAAATCTTTGTCGTCCTTAAATTTGGTTGTGCGAGGAGGCACAGTATTTCTACTTACCCCTCCATCTTGGCCAGAAGTCCCATATAAATTTTTGAAGTGTTTGTTCTATATCTGTGAAATATGTCATTGGTACTTTAATAGGTATTGTGTTGAATCTATACATTGTTTTGGGTAGTATGAGCATTTTAATCATGTTAATTCTTCTGATCCATGAACATAGTCTGTGTTTCCATTTGATTGTGTCTTTCTTGATTTCTTTCTTTAGTGTTGTGTTGTTTTCTGAGTACAGGTCTTTTACCTCCATAGTTTGGTTTATTCCTAGGTTTTTTTTTTTTTGCTATATTAAATGGGATTTTTTTCTGATTCCTGTTTCTAGTGGTTCATTGTTGGTGTACAAAAATGCATTTGATTTCTGACTATTGAGTTTGTATCCTGCTCTTTTGGCAAATTCATTTATTAGGTCGAGAAGTTTTTTTGGTGGAGCCTATAGGATTTTCTATGTATGTTATCTTGTCACCTGCAAACAATGGTAGTTTTGTTTACTCTTCTCCAATTTGGATGCATTTTATTTCTTTCTCTTGCCTGATTGCGGTGGCTAGGACTTCCAATACTATGTGGAATAGTAGTGGTGAAAGAGGACATCCGTGCCTTTTTCCTCACCTTAGTGGAAATGATTTTACTTCTTCCCATTGAGTGTGATATTGGCCATAGTTCTCTCATATATTAGTTTTATTATGTTGAGGATGCTCCCTCTGTTCCCAGTTTCGTGAGTGTTTTTATCATAAATGGGTGCTGTATCTTATCAAATGTTTTCTCCTCATTTATTGTTATGGACATGTAATTTTTGTCTTCACTTGTTTATGTGGTTTATTACATTTATTGATTTGTGAACATTGTACCATCTTTGCATCCCTGGGATGAATCCCACTTGCTCATGGTGTATGATCTTTTTAATGTATTGATGGATGCAGTTTACCAATATTTTGTTGAAGACTTCAGTGTTTATGTTCATCAGCGATACTGGCCTGAAATTTTCTTTCTTTGTTGTGTCTTTATCTGGTTTTAGGATTAGGATGATGCTGACTTCATGAAAAGAGTTTGGGAGTCTTCATCTTCTTGGATTTTTTGCAATAGTCTATGAAAAATAGGGGCTAGTTCTTCCTTAAATGCTTTGTAGAATTCTCCCATGAAACCATTCAGTCCAGGGATTTTGTGTGTTGGGAGTTTTTTAATTACTGCTTCAATTTCATCTGCTGTTATTGGTGTGTTCAGGTTTTCTGCTACTTTGTTATTCAGTTTTGGAAGATTATATTTTCCTAGAAATTTGTCCACTTCACTAAGGTTTTCTAATTTCTTAGCATATAGTTCTTCATAGTACTTTCTTACAATCCTTTGTATTTCTGTGGTATCAGTTTTAATGTCCCTGCTTTCATTTCTGATTGTGTTTATTTGGATCCTCTCTCTTTTTTTCTTGATGAGTCTGCTTAAAGGCTTGTTGATTTTGTTTATCTTTTCAAAGAACCAGCTCCTGGATTTATTTGTCCTTTGGATTATTCTTAGTCTCTATGTTGTTTAATTCTGCCCTGATCTTGGTTATTTCATTCCTTCTCTTTGCTCTAGGTTGTTTTCGTTGTTGTTCTTTGCATTCTTGTAGGTGTAGGGTTAGGTTGCTTATTTGAAGTGTTTCTATCTTTTTTAGGTAGGGCTGTATCACTACAATCTTCCCTCTTAGGACTGCCTTTGTTGTGTCCCATAAGTTTTAGGTTGCTGTGAGTTCATTTTCATTTGTTTCCAGAAACTTTTTGAGTTCTTCCTTGATCTCATTCTTGACCCATTCATTGTTTTATAGCATGTTATTCGATCTCCATGAGTTTTTGTGTTTTTGAATTTTTTCTTTGAGGTTGGTTTTTTGTTCAGTCCCTGTGGTCAGAGAAGATGCTTTATTTGATTTTAGTTTTCTTGAATTTGTTGTGGCTGGTTTTGTGTCCTATCATGTGGTCTATCCTTGAAAATGTTCCATGTACAATTGAAAAGAATGTGTGTTTTACTTCTTTGGGATGAAAGGCTCTATATATATCAGTTAAGTAAATTTGATTTAGGACATTATTCAATGCCTTTGAAGTCAGTTTCTGATAATCTACTTGCCTCTATTTCATTTAGCATTCATTTTGAGGCTTCCTCCCATTTTTCATTTGGGGTTTGTTTCTTTGTTTTCCCATTGTTTGAGACTTTTGTTGTTAGCCTCTGCTTCTTCTGTTTTGACTCCCTGGGTTTATTGTGTGAACTTCTATGGTAGGAAACCTATGAGATTCACTAGTTCAGTTTCCTTGATCTCCTAAACTTGCTGGTCTTGGGCTGTCATTTATGTTGGATTTCTGGGTTCCTTTGGGTTTGGATTGTTGTTGGAGTTTTTTGGTGGGTCTTTCCCTCCAGCTGGTTAACTGAGGTTCACTCTGTCCACCAAGTCTTGTATTCTGTTGTGCAGGTGTGGACAGGTTGTGTTGTAACTGGTTCTTCTATCTGTCTGAGGTTTTGGGGCTTCTCTCTTGCTATTGTTCAGTGTTTGTTCTGGGTAATTTCTCTACTGTTTAGTTGTATTTCCAGATCAGTCCTGGATTGCAATTAGCGTGGCTTCCACTCCCTCCTTCACCTTCTTCTATTGTTATCTGTTGGTGATTCCTTTGTTGGTGGGTTTCCTTTTCCAGCAGTATACTGGTATTCACATCTACTCTTTTTTGTGATCAATTGGTGTGGGAAGTCAAAATGTTTTAAGACAGTAGAAGTGTATTTTATGGTATTTAAAGTACCAACCCATAGAGAAGAGATAGGAGATTCTTTCAATTTGTAGTGTTAACACTGATAGCTCATGGAAGTAGCCACTTTTTAGAAAGGGTGGAAATAACATAAAACTCTTGTTAGGGGAAGGGAAAGATTTCGAGTTGGATCTAGAAAGCAGTGAGCTTATGGACATCAGATTATGAGGTAAAGTGACGGTAAAGGATAGAAAATAGGTGTAGTGTGTGAGAGAATAAAGTTAACTACTACAGTAATAAAGTTCAGGAGATAGTAAAGTGAGCTAAAATTTAGGAGTGGTGCTGTGTAGTATTTACAATTGTATGGAACAGCAATTATTTACAATAGTAATGGCAACATTCATAACAGTCAAACCATGCAATTTAACAAACCAAGTGAAGAAGACTAAACAGAAAGAAGAGAAATACTAAAATACTAATAAAATAAAAGATGTAAGAATAATGAAAAAACAATAATAATACAAGAACTTGCAAGTTCTCTGGAGTAGCAAAGTGAAATTTGTCTCACTTTCTCAGTTGTTGAGATGACCCCTTTTTGGGTCTAAATCTAGTCCTTTCACAGCTCCAGGTTTTATTGTCTTACTCGTGGGAATAAAAAAAAGGGAGGAAGGAAGAAGGATTAAAAAAGGAAAGGAGGGAAGAAAGAAAGAATGAAAAAAGAAAGAAGGAAAAAAAGGAAGAAGGAATTTAAAAATATATATATTTTAAAGTGTTCTGCTGGGTTTAAACTGGCCAAGCCAGTTCTGCTGGTTTTCCTGGCTGCAGCAGGCTGAGGAGGGATTGGTTTCATTTTTATCCCTTCCTGAGCCACACTTTTGCTGTTGCCCAGCCTCTAGGCCAATTCCTCAGTTTCCTTCTGTGCCTAGCCTATGCCTTCAGTCCACCAGTTGTGCTGTCCTGGAGATGCACCAGTTAGGGGCAATTCACAAACTCCCTTTAGCTCTTTGCTGTCCTAGATGCTAGGGACTCTCAGTGCCCCTTCAGGGTAGTTCTTCTTCACCACTGAGTTAAGTCTTTCTGAGGATTGCTGACTCCCTGAGCCTTGCAGCTCTCCTCTTTGGGGCATGTCCACCTTGCTCTTAAAGAGCCAGCGGGCCCTGCAAGGCCCTGTGTGTAGGGGCCAGATAGGAGGTGCCTCTGGACACAGGGGTCAGGTGCGCTCTATCATCATCTATCCTGAGGCTGCAGGCCTGACTTGAGCACTGGGCCTACCTGCTGGGGCAAAACAGGCAGCCCTGGGCCTCGTGGTCAGGTGTGCACTGTCCCTGGGGCTTTGGGTGTGAATGTGGACAGGGAGCTGCCACACCATGCAATCTGTTGCAGACTGTCCCTGGGGCTGCAGGCATGAGCTGGGGCTGCAGGGTAGGGGCACAGGAAGTGGGGGCCCCTGCTTCAGAGAATTTTCCTAACAGCTGCTGAATGCCTCTTTCTCTCTCTCTCTCTCTCCTCTTTTTAATTCCTTCTATTCAAGCCTGATGCTCCAAACAAGTGCCTGGTCTCTCACACAGCCCAAATCTCCAACCAGATCAGGGACTGACTGGGTCAGGATTCGTCACTGCCCAATTCTTCCCAACTGGCATCCGCAGTCTCAGTTGGTGCACACTGCCTCTGTGTGTTTCCCACTTTGCCCTTATATCTCCCCACTGCAACTTTAAGCATCCAGGTCCCTCCCAGTGCTGTTCAAATCTTGTTTGGCAGGGGAGGGAGGTGTTGACCTGGCTCTCTTACAAGAATCCTGCAGCAGACTTGGAGGGCACCAGGCCTGGGGCTAACAGCCTACCTGTTCCCCATGCTGGTTCCCATGTTGGTCCCAGGGACCTTATTATTGTCCTGACGCACTCTCCTTACTGTCTGATTTTTCAATGTCTTCTACAATTTTTGGTTTCCAATCTTCACATGTGCTGGGATACCATTGGCTATTCACTCTGTTCTTCAGAAGATCGGCTAGGTATTTCACCCATGCACAGGGGGAAGTGGACTCCTCTTCCACCTATCATGTGGCCATCTTCCCTGGGGCTAAATTAATAAAATCTTAGGAATAATAAAGCATTGTCAAATTTGTTTATCTTTTCAAAGAACCAGCTCCTGGATTTATTGATCCTTTGAATTGTTTTTTTAATCTATATATCATTTAATTCTACTCTGATCTTGGTTAATGTTAATCATTTTAAATATATATATATATATTTTAGTTTTGTTCAAGTAAACTTCTCTCCATTTTGCCCCCAACTAGCCCCTCACCCCAGCCATCCCCACCACCCATCCCTGATCCCATCCCCCTTGGTTTTGTCTATGTGTCCTTTATACTTGTTCCTGAAAACACTTTCCCTAATATTTTAATATATATTAAATAAAATATTAATTTGATAATATAATTTCATTATATCCACACGATAGCATGTTTATCATATAACATTATATGATAAGCTTATTATATATAATATTTAATATTAATATCATAATATATAATTATATGAATTGTATACTTCTAGGTATTCTAGAAGTATACATAGTTATATATTATATATTATTGCTATATAATATTATGGTAAAGTTGTAGTAAAACATATAAATTTCATATATAAAATATCAACTTATATAAAGTTGATAAGTTGTACTAAAACTTATATAAATTCCACTGTAACTTACTATCACTCAGTTGTACTTCACTTTATAAGTACTGAACTGTGGTATCCCTCAGTCTTCTAAACTTTAATTCATTGTCACTTCTAGTTCCTTTGCCTCTTTCCACCTCAATTACAACTTCACAGTGCAGATTAGTGTCAATGGTTTATTATTTTCATGAGGTAATGAAGACTTTGTTACTTTAATCATTAAGTATTTTAATAAGTTCTTTATATTGAGACTTGTTTTTTGTTATTACTAAAATTATAATGTTTTTCTTTAGAAATACAAAAGGATGGAAAATGATTTCCAGATTTTATCAGAGGAGAAATCAGTGTTGGAAAATGAACTTCAAACCTTAAGAAATAAAGAGGTTAGTTAAATTTTAGTGACTAAAAAATGGTTAAAGTTTCTAAAGATTCTTATTATATTAAGCTAGGAATCAAATATATATTTAAATGTTTTATTATACATTTTAAATATTAATAATTGGTAACACCTGTGTTTTTAAAATGAAAAATAATGTTGTATTTAAGTTACAATATTAACAACAAAAACTAAAAGGGTGGTATGAAAACAAAGTAAATTTTAAACATGTCTGAAAGACATTCTAGGCCTAATATTGTACTTTATTAAAATATCAATCAACTATGCATTTCAAATATTTTTAAATGCATTTCATGCTATTCTTTGCATTTATGTAATGTGTGTCCCAGCTCATTATATCAAGTAGAGTAAATGAAATATCTAGGATAAAATTTTTTTCTTAATATCTCTTCTTTTCTAGGTTCATAAAGCTTGTAAATTTTAAATTGTAGAAAACAATGGCTTAGAAGCAAATATTTATTAACTTCTTAAATCCATAAAATGTATGTTTCAACATATAATCAACATACAATTAAGGAAAATACTCTTTCTTGAATGCACTAGTGTTGTTTACCTGATACTTCTTTCTTACTAAAGAGAATGCATAAATAGTACTAGGAAATTTTTTACTTCATCAGAGAAGCAGACAGGTGTCAAATACAACACCAAAGCTGTCACATGCAATTAAAAGTAGTTTCATTTAGGTACACTTCCAAATAGGTATAGATGATTAAAAAATAATTTAAGTGAAAATAAAGTAGCAAATTACTTTATTAAATCATTGGGTAGTCTGCCCAAGTATATTTTGGAGCATTTAATTATTTACCATTAGATCCACACTAAGAAAAAACCTTGGAGCACACTTTCAGTCGAGGTGGCTGCATAGGTAAACCCTGTGCTGGCTTCCTCCAACAACCACATCAAAATTACAATTACACTACAGGACAACCATCATTCAGAACTGTGTGAAGTCTAGCTGAACAGAAAACCTATAACTAAGGATATATAGAAAAAGCCATATAGATACTGGTAGTGGAGATGTGGAACAGATAGATTGGTCTCACATCCATGTACAGTGTTTAAAAATTAGGAGGTATATCTGGATGTGGAAGTCCCCTCTGAGGAGTGAGAGGTCGCAGTCCCATGGTGGAGTACTCAGTTCAGGGTTCCAATGCCAAGAAAAGAAGTCCCCATAACTTCTGGCTGTGAAAACCAGTGAGGACTCTGGCTGATAGGGACCAGAGGCTGTTCAAGTCCCAGGTGTTCCTCCTAAAAAGCCTGTTCATGGATTTACATGGACTCATTTGCTTTGAGTTCCAGCACTTGGTCAGCACCTCAAAAGGCACCAGCAATATATGGGGGGGACTAAATTGTCTGTCAAGGGATAGAAAGCCAGAACTTTCCCAGACACAAGTGCTGGCAGAGGCCATTGTTTCTTTGCTAAGCCCTCTCTGTACACAGCCAGAAGGCATATTTGAGACTCCATTATACTGGATAACACTATTCACTCTGCTCTAGTAATTCCCTGAGACCCCACTTCACCCAATTTACAGACCTACCTAAGGTGCTTTTTTTACACAAACTGCCTGTCTTAGTTCATGCTGTGGACTTTCCTAAAATCTCTCAAACAAGTAGTATCTGACCTTGGGGTGCCTTGGACCTCCTGCTAAATGGCCTTAGGCTCAGAACTAGCAGCAGCTGGCCTTGGTTCACAGTCTGGCCTCTCCAGGGTACCTTCAAGCTCAGCAAAATTAGCAGCCATCTGAAAATAGTTTTGTAGCTCATGCCCAGTGGCCCTAGACAGGCTCAGGCTACATGTGGCAGCTGATCTTAGCCTGAATCTCCTCCGTGGCACCTGAGCCATCACACTCAATGGAAAACTTCACATTCCGATGAAACACCACCCAACTATCTCCACAAACTATAGGTGCAAATTCAGTAGTCATCAGAGGTGCAAATTTAGTAGTCATCAGAGGCACAGTGACACCAGTTATGATCTGTGGGGTTTGCTCCTGCATAGCAGTTCCTTCACAGTAGTTGTTATCAGCCCTTGCAGCCAATAGGACTGATGGTAAATATTTCCCATTGATGTGATACTAACAATCAAGGCTTAACTACAATAGGATGGTGCACACAGCCTACACAGAGTGGGGGAAGCATGTACCTGCAGTGCCCACATAAGGTGACTGGGGTGGCTGCACCATGGAGCCTTTCAGAATACCTACATAAGGCCATTCTACCAAGACTGGCATTTTTAGCAGTCCTACCTAATACATAGAAACAAATATATGGAGGCAACCAAAATGAAGAGATAAAGAAACATGTTTCAAATGAAAGAACAGGAAAAATCTCCAGGAAAAATATCTAAACAAAATGTAGACAATACATGTGATGCAGAGTTCAAAACACTTTTTACAAGGGTGCTCAATGATCCCAGAAAGAACTTCAACAAAGACATAAAGAGCATAAAAGTGGAGGTAGAAAACATAAAAGAAGAGTCAGAAATGAAAACTACAATAACTGAGGTGAAGAGTACATTACAGTAAATCAATAGTAAAGTACATGAAGCAGAGGATCAAATCAGTGATTGGAAGATAAAGAAACAGAAAACACCCAATGCAATCAGCAAAAAGAAAATGGGCTTCAAAAAAGGAAAGTTTAGAGTTTCTGGGACCACTTCAAGTGTACCAACATTAGCATCATGGGTTGCCAGAAGAAGAGGAAAACAATAAATTGAAAATTTATCAGAAAAAGTGATGATGGAAAACTTTCTTAATCTGGTGAAGGAAAAAGACACATATGTCCAGGAAAGACAGAGAGTCTCAAACAAAATGAACCCAAAGAGGACCACACCAAGACACATCATAATTAAAATGGGAAAAATTAAAGGCAATGAGAAAGTTTTAAAGGCATCAAGAGAAAAACAGTTAGCTACCTGTAAGGGAGCTTGCATAGGACTGTCACATGACTTCCCAACAGAAATATTTCAGGCCAGAGCAATTGTCATAAAGTATTTAAAGTGTTGAAAAGCAAGGATCTACAACTAAGAGTAGTCTACCCAGCAAGGCTATCATTAAAAATTGAAGGTGAAATAAAGAACTTCCCAGACAAGAAAAATGTAAAGCTAAAGGAGTTTATTACCACCTAAATATTATGATAAGAAATGTTAAAGGGGTTTTTTAAGAAAGGAAAAAGAGTAACATAGTTTGAAATAATAAGATGCCAATAAATGCTATCAATAATCATTTTATTTTTTAATACTTTTATTGTTGTTCAAGTATGATTTCTGCCTTTCCCCCACTCCTCTCCTGTTTCTATCCCCCCTTGTTATTGTCCATGTGTCCTTTATAATTGTTCCTACAAACCCTTCACTCTTTGCTCACATAATCCCCTTCCCTCTCCCCTCTGGTCATTGTCAACTTGTTCTCAATTTCAATGTCTTTGGTAATATTTTGCTTGCTTGTTCATCTTATTGATTAGGTTCCTGTCAATAATCATTTTAAATATAAATGGATTAAATGCTCCAATCAAAAGACAAATGGTGGCTCTATGGGTAACAAAACAAATCTCTTAAATATTCTGTTTACAAGAGCCCCATTTCAGAATGAAATACACACAGATACTGAAAGTAAAGGGATGTAGAGATCCAAGATGATGTCAGAGTAGGTGGAAGCTACATTCACCTCCTCCATGGACTAAGCTGGATTAAAACTAAATTATAGAACAATCATTCTGAATAAACAACTGAAAATGACTTGAACAGGAGTTTTAAACCAAGAACTTACAGAAGAAGCCACACTGAAACTGGTAGGAAGGGTGGAGAGACATAAAGGGGTGGTCCCACCCCTAAGAGCAGTGGCCAAAGTGCTGTAGGGATATCTCAGCAGTGGGGGTGCCCCCTGAGAAGTATTGTTTCTAAATTACAAGGTAAACTCCCCAGTTCAGAGCATAAGAATCAGGAAGAGGCACCCACATAACATCTGGCCGTGAGAAGCAGTAAAGTTTCTGTGTACTAGGGTGAGGAAGGAGTCCATTAGAGACACATATATTCCCCTAATGGGCCAAATACAAAATTTCATATAACCCTGGAAGTCCATGGAGGGAGGGCAGAGTGGACTAGGGTTGCAAGAGGAGAATCTGGTGTTTGTGGCTCTGGGGTGGGAGTTGAAAGAATAGCTGCCAGGAACCCTGTGCTTAGTCATTATCTGATACTGCAGACACCATCTTTCTTAGATGGAGCACTCCTCTCCCTATGTTACCAGCCTGAGGGAAAGCAATAGCCACACCCTTTGTACTCCCTCTTGGATCACATTGTGGAGCTTAAACCCTTCTGAGGAGTATAGCCAGAATTTATTTCAGTGACTGAGCCTTATAGGAAGCTGGCAGGTGAGTTAGGCAAAGACAAATCTCATTCTAGTGCCTTGAGACATTTGCTGGCTTATACCTGGGCTCAGTGCTCTTAAAAGTTGGCCTTGGTGTACAGCTTGGTCCTGCCTGTGTGCACCTGGGCTTAGCAGAGATAGCCACAAAATGTGAGTCACCTGTTACTCCCAACTAGTTGCCAAGGGCAAATCACAGCAAGTATCTTACACAGGCTTGCACCAAAGTCTCTTCCAAGAAACCCAGAATGAGTACATCCAGTGGCCATCTTCAGACAACATCAGACTAGGATCCAGTAAGCTTCAAAAGTGGCATATCCAAAGTGAGTTCTTGCAGGCACCAAAATCTGCTGGGGCAAATTATTCATAGGGTCAGCACCTGCATAGCAGCTCACATATTGTTGGGGTTGATCCTCAAAGCCAGCGTAAGGAGTGATTTCATGCACAAATGGGCCAATAGCAGTCAAGACTTGATTATAACAGGAGGGCCCATGTAACTTACATAAGGAATATTTTTGGAGCACCAAACTTGATTGATTAAGGAGACTGCACTATTTGACCTCATAGTACACCTACTTAGAAAGGCCACCCCCTGAAGACTGGAAGTCATAGCATATATAGCTAACAA